CTTACATTCTGACAATCTATCAACCCATATTTGTTAAGCTCCTACTATGTGGCAGGCCCTTTGACAAATAAACAAACAAAATTCGCCCCTGTCCTCAAGGAGCTTACACTTTGACAATCTATCAAACAGTATTTGTTAAGCTCCCTACTATGTGGCAGGCACTGTGAGAGCCAACTTGACAGAGTCATGGGAGGGGAGCCCTTGATGATGTTTGAGCTGGACTCTGAATACCCCCAACTGCCCTCATGGGTGTCTGATGGGTCTGTCATCAGGGATCGCTCTAGACCCAGGATCTCACAGCTGGCGGGGACCTCTGGCCTCAGGGAGAATCCCTTCTCTCCAATGAGGGGGCAGCCAGCCTCTGCTTGAAGATTGTGAGACAAGATGCTATGAAATGAGGGCAAAGAATAGGGGCTCTTCACTTTTTGTGGGAGTCCAGGGAAGCCTATGGAGCCCTTCTCAGAATAAAGTTTTTATTTCGTTCTGGAGGCAATTGGGGTGAAGTGACTTGCTCAGGGTCACACAGCTAGTAAGTGTCAGAGGCCTGATTTGAACTCAGGTCCTCCTAACTCCAAGACTGGTGCTCTATCCATTGTAGCGCCACCTAGCTGCCCCAGAATATAATTTTTAAATGTATAAAATACATTTAAAGAAAGCAATCATATTGAAATACAGTTATCCAAATATTTTTAAAAGATAATTTTTCAGACCACAGGTAAGAAACCTGGGCTTAGAAAAACTTAAACCCTTGCAGAAAGTACATATTCTTTTTTTTTCTTTTAGGCAATTGGGGTTAAGTGACTTGCCCAGGGTCACATAATTAGTAAGTGTCAAGTGTTTGGTCTGAGGCCGGATTTGAACTCAGGTCCTCCTGACTTCAGGGCTGGTGCTCTATCCACTGCCCCGAAAGTACATATTCTTCATACCACCTCTCATCTGACTCCTGCCTCACACTCTCTTAACTAATTATTAATTAATATCTAATTCTCTTTCCTCAAATTACCTCATATCTATGACTACTACTGCTACTATTAACTACCACCACCACCATGCATTTATATATTGCGTTACAATCTACAAAGCACTTTACAAACACCTCATTTTATCCTCACAACCACTCTGGAAGGTAGGTGCTATTATCATCCCCATTTTAGAATGAGAAAACTTGGGCAGGTTAAGTGA